AACCAATCCAGCGCCCCATGCTCCCCCAGCAGCACCCCAGCAGCAATCCAGTAGCAATCCAGCACCAATCCAGAACCACTCCAGAACCAATCCAGCACCCCGTGCTCCCCCAGCAGCACCCCAGCAGCACCCCAGCAGCAATCCAGCACCAATCCAGAATCAATCCAGAACCAATCCAGAACCACCCCAGTGCCCTGTGCTCCCCCAGCAGCACCCCAGCAGCAATCCAGCACCAATCCAGAACCACTCCAGAACCAATCCAGCACCACTCCAGAACCACTCCAGCACCCTGTGCTCACCCAGCACCACCCCAGCACCAATCCAGAACTACACCAGTACTGGTGAAACAGCCCAGCACCATCCCAGCACCACCCCAGGACCACCCCAGCACCCTGTGCATACTCAGCACCACCCCAGCACCAATCCAGAACCAATCCAGCACTGGTGAAACAGCCCAGCACCATCCCAGCACCAATCCAGCACCACACCAGCACTGGTGAAACAGCCCAGCACCATCCCAGCACACTGTGAGAGTCCAGCAGCACCACCCCACCACGTTGTGCATACCCAGCACCACATCAGCACCCTATGAAACAGCCCAGAACCAATCCAGCACCATTCCAGCACCACACCAGCACTGGTGAAACAGTCCAACACCACCACCCCAGCACATTTTGCACACCCAGCACCAGTCCAGCACCACACCAGCACTGGTGAAACAGCCCAGCACCATCCCAGCACCCTGTACACAGCCAGCACCCAGCAAGCCAGAAGGCAGGACACTTTCAAATCTCTTTTTTTTTAACCCTAAGTGGAAGGCTGGACTAGAAACCCCCTGGCTTTTCTGGAAGTTTAATTTAGATTCAGTATTGTAGCTAATCACATGTGGGAGAGCTGAAGCTTTAGTGCTGGACATGGCTCACCTCATGCAGGATGGGGCATTTCAACCTGTGTAAGGCCTTGGTTACTCACAGCCATTTACAAACTGCCTGAAAACATTGCCTGGCTCTAAACTTTGGTCTTCCATCCACAAGAATGCCAAAATAAGTTTGTCCACTCTTCAAATTATAGGATTGTGTGGTTCTGTGGTTTTCTGTGGTAGAAGCTCTGTGGTTTCTTAAGCTATTTTGTGCACCTCTAACACAGAGTAGCTGTTAGGCTTTGCTTAAATTGAATTTTTGAAGCCAGAACCCCAAGCTCCAGCAATTTTCTTTTGCTATATTTAGAAAAAACAACTACAACAAAGTCATGTAGCCATCGCTATGGTAACTAGCAAAAAATTCATCCCAAACCCTGTGGAATTTAACAGGGAGAAAGCCATCCCCATTGCTAGCATCAAAACCTTCTTGGTGGCATTTACAAACAAGCTCTGCATCATTTGATCCCAAACCCATTGGGAGCAGCCCCTGCCACAAACCAGCACCTTCCACTTGCACCACACAAAGGATGCACAGATTCATCCTGAGCTCGTTAGGTAGGAAATATATTTGATTTACTCTTTTGAGGTCTGATTTTTCAGCCACAATTATCTGATCTAACAAAATTTACTGCAGACACTAAAGAGGAACTATAAGGACTGTTTTATAGAATGAAGAAGGGTTAACTTTACCAAAACCTCCTCTCTCTCAAGGAGAGCAGAAGCAACCAAGTTTTCATTTGCTCTGTAACCACTGTTAGCATTAGTTACCTGCTTTTTTACCTGTTCCCATTGTAAATCCTTTCAGCAAATCAGAATTTTTCTGTCTGCTGTCGTGAGCATAAATTCAGCAAGACAGAAACTGCAGGTGAACTTACCTGGTACAGGTTTATAACTAAATAGGGTATTGCTTTAAACCACTTTTACTTCCGTTTCTTCTTACAGCTCAGAGTATACCTGGAGTTCTGACTCATTATGTCATTAAGAAATATCTGGAATATCATTTTGGATATGATTTTCTGTGATATTTAATATGTCAGGTGAATAACTACATAGCCTGAGGCTTAAACACAAAACAAAAAACACACAAAAATATCCTCATATCCCATCAACCACTTTTTTACAGCCTGTGTGCAATGACAGCATGAGTTTTGTTATCTTAATGATTTTATATTATGTTTGCAAAATAAGGGATATGAAGTGCCTGGATGTCCTTTCTGTGGAAGCAAGGGATAGGCAGAGAGCACAGGGCTTTTTCATTCTGAAAATTGTGATCAAGGACCTTAATGGGAAGTTAAACAGCAAAAAATATATTATGTAAGGTGCTGGCAGAGCCCTGTGAGATTTCATCAATTAGGAAGGCTACAGTAATTCTATGAGATGCTGCATCAGCACCAGTAAAAAGTTTTAATTGTGGTCATAACATTAAAAAAACAAAACAAAAAAAAAAAAAACCAACCAGACAGGAGGGACTCAGAGTGACTACACTGATAGTCACATACAGCAGATGGAGATTCAGCAGTTCCAGAGATAAACCTGAAAGCAGTTCCAGCGTGGGAGCTCAGAATTCCAAGAGTAGAGCTGGGTCTGGGACACTTTGAAGTTCAGTCAATAAATGCTACAGTCGTGCTTGAGTTTAACAGTTGGGCTCAGACTTTGCACAGCTTTTGGAGTGAAATTTCCACATCCTGAACAGAATGGTGATGCTGTTATCCCTCCCAGTGAAGGGGACACTTTGAGGTTCAGTCAATAAATGCTACAGTCGTGTTTGAGCTGGGCTCAGACCTTGGACAGCCTTTAGGGTGAAATTTCCACATCCTGAACAGAATGGTGATGCATTTATCCCTTCCCAGTGAAGGAGCTCTCAGGCCATGCTGGGTACAGGGGGGGTCCTTTCAGATTAAGATTTCAGATTTCAGATTAAGATTTCAGATTTCAGATTAAGCCCAGACAATGTGGATGAGGAAAGCATTTGGGGAAGCACAGGGATGAGAATGCTGAGTATGTCAGACCCCAGAAACTCAAGTGGGAGCAACACATGGAGGGCTGGGTCATGGTTTTATGAGAGACGAAAAGCATGACACAATGAGAATTGGGGAGGGATTGTGCCCCTCTGTAGTCAAATCCTCCAAAATGGGAATGAACCAAAAATAACTGAGGGAAACCTGCCTTGGCAAGATGCTCACTGTGGCCAGGTGAGGAGGAGCAGGCAGGGAACAGCCGGGAGAAGAATGAGTCCAAGTGAGTACATGGAACAGCCCAGCAGTGAGGTGTGTTTTTCCAGGCAGCCAAAGGTTGTCTCCAGCGATCTCCCCAGCCACTCCCAGCGTGAATTGCCAGGACAGCCACACTGATTGCTTGGGAAGGGTGTGGTGCTGCATCTGGGACTGGTCTGCTCAGCCCAAATCTGCCTGGGACAAGGAAGAAAGGGAAGGACAGGAGGGAAAACCATCCAGAAGGTACCAGCCAACAATAAAAAATTTCAGTGCACAGAATAGAGCTGTTCTTCAAAGCCAGAGTTACAAATTTAACATAAAATCTTGTGAAATTGTGGACCAAAAAAAAAAAAAAAAAAAAAAAAAAAAAAAAAAAAATAAAAAAAAAAAAAAAAAAAAAAAAAAAAGAGTGCCGAAATCTCAGAGCTCCAAAAAGTAACTTTCATTTATTATATTAAACAATAACATTTCTCTTATTATATTAAACAATAAACACATGAGATGGGTTAAAATTAAAATACCTTACAATTTGTTATAACATTTGAAAGATAAATATAACCACAATAATGTACATATTTGGAGATATTAGTCAGATTTAGGTCAACATTGCAGTTTCCACTTTGTGTTTCCACCTTTTCAGGTCAGACTGAAGAATCATATATTAAAAGGGACACCAGAAGAGCACTCTGTACTTGCAACAGCAGAAGGAACCACAGTCACTAGGAGTTTTCCTTTGAAACTTAAAGGGAGAGGCAGAAGTTGGAAAAAATGAAAATTCCATTTTATAACAAATTAGCCTTTATTTATAAAACTTTCAAGTAAAAAGAGCAGTATATCAACTGATCAAACAGGTGTGTCAATGAATTATAGTTAACATATTTACTCTAAAAATAAATCTTCTATGATTCCATCATACTCCAAGCAAAATTCCTTTCTAAGAAAAGATGGTTGTTGTGAAGTCTACATGTATAACCAAATATATAACCAAAAACTTGGCTGTTCCACTAGTATAGGAAGATAATTGAATTAGATCATTAACAGCAGAGATCAATTCACATCAACAGAGTTCCAGCTCTAAATGAGGATTAAGCAGAAATGAAATTCCTGAGAAGGAGGAATAAAATGCAGAAGAAAGGAGAAATCAAACTCTTACACAAGGGAAAGCCACAATTCTACTTGGACCAAAACTCCTTGGGCCATGGTTCTACAGAACAAATATTCTTCTCAATGGAGAAACACTAAAGAAGAAATAGTAACCCCAAAAGGATTATAAGAAGAATTCAAGAAAAGTGCGTTATCCTTGAGCATAAGATGACAAAATAATTTCTACAAGAGTGCCAACAGATTTCACAGATGGGAATTAAAATTAAAAAGGCTTACATAGACACAGCTTGGAATTTCTTACACTTTGAGAGCACAGTACATGGAACAAGGTACAGGAAGGAGTGATGACCCTCACAGGGCAGAGGTTCCATGAAGAAAAAGTTGCCTATATAGAAATATTTCCTACAGCATTATTGTGGGAGTATGAATTTATGAGCATCTGGTTTTATTGCAGGGGGACTGGGAGGTTTTACAGCGAGACAATTTGAAGGTAACTGAGGGAAAGTTAAAAATGGGAACACACAGTTCTGTGAGGGGCAATGTGGTAATTCCATATCTGTGCCCTCTGTGCACTGTCTGCACATGCAGGTTGGATGTGAATAATTGTCTGTCTGTTCTGTTTAACTGCTGTGCCTCAGTGCCCTGTGCAATCCATGAGTCATTCCAGTATTGTATATTCCATATAAAACATGTGTGCCACCATAAAACCCTGCCAAACTCTGATTGCTCAAGGTAGCACAGAGTCTAATCATTTATCTAAGCAGAAAGAAGAATCACCCCCACTCTTTCCTCTAAGCCAAATATGCAATGGATATTTGTTCCTCCTGAAGTAAAAGCTTAGGTGGAAATGGAGGAAGACCAGAACTGGAATCCAGATGACAATTATGTGCAACTAATCTAACTGGAATGAAGCAAGAAAAACATGTTTTCCACCTTTGCCTGTGACTGTTTGGGGTGTGTGTATGAGAACAGCTCCCCACAAATAATTTTTAAAAAAGGAAAATTAAAAAAAAGGAAAGAGGGAAGAGGGAAACTATGAGCAAACATAGGAGAAAATTCACTGCCTCAGCCCAGAGAAGAAAGATGACATGCAAGATCAGCAGTTGGGCCTACATTCCAAACAGATACTTGGAAAGCTACAAAGAATGTGAAATGACATCCAGTGCAGATAATTACTTCCTTCTGCCAGGGTTCTCTTACACCTGGAACAGCTAATGAACACAGTTTTTCATGTCAATGAAAGAAATCTCGATACAAATTGATTAGAAATAATTTCTCCTCTTTTCTTTAACCAGGACTTTGAAACTCTCAGAGCCAGGAGCTAATCTGAATTTCTGTAAAGACTCCAATTCTGTATCCCTCTGTGGTTACAGAATTCATACATACACACAAGCTTTAATATATAGAATATATATGCATATTCTACATATTCATTGTATATACACATTTTATGTACAGCACAAGGAACTATATACTGGACATAGCATGTGGACATGTATATACACACACTATGATTACATTATACAATACTCTATATATATATATATATATATTTGTATATATACACATACACACAAATAATATGGATCTCACTGTACACTGTATATGCACTGGGGGTATTCACATTTTCCATATCTTACAGTGTATGTATTTGCTCTGCCCAAATAGCAACAGGTCTGTTTGTGCTTTAAATTTCACTGTCTGGAGGAAGAAGAGCAATGTCTTGCAAAGTTTTGCCTCAAAGAGCAAGTGCAGGTATTGTACAAACACTGAGTTACAGTGTGGGGAAAGAATGTGGGGAATCTTCCTTTTTATATGGAAAACTGTATTAAATACAAAGTGAGAAATCACAGCTAGGTTTTCTTCTACTGCAGTGACAACATTTTGAATCAAGAGTGTTTCAGTAAATTTAAGGTTCCTAAATCTAACACTGTGCATAGACAACATGTTGTGTTCTGTCCCTGTTCATTTGTTGATCTGCAGTTACTGTCCAAGCAACTATGAGGAAGAGTCAATAAGGAAATAGAAAAACAAGCCCTAACACTCTACAGAATGCTGGATTAATTCACATTTCTGCCTCTCTGCTGGACATCTTGAAAACATCATCTCATTGGCCTAGAAGCATTATAAAATCAGTGTTTTTGGGCCCTGACAAAGCAACAGAAAGTCTTGTTATGGTACAGAACTTCAAAAATGCATCGAGCTATTTAGTCATGCACCTAAATACTAAGTTATTAGTATTTATTACTCTCGAGATTTTATTGTAGCAGAAGAGACACCAGAAGGACTCAGGTCCAACTGAACAGGAGGATTTCACACATGGATACAGATTATATAACTGTACAGTTATATAGTTATACAGTTTGTATAACTGCACTGAGAATCCTGCAGCCACTTGCTTTTGAAAATTGCTTTCACAGCAAAAGTTTTATCATGTTACCTTAAAGACAGACACAGGTTAGCTCTCAGAGATTTAAAGTTCTGTACACCAAAGAAGAGAGAAATTTTTGTCTTTTAGTATGTTTGATCATGTAATCAAACATCTATTAGAGAAAAATTATTGCAATGGGAAGGGACTTCAAATCAGGTTCTTCAAAATTAGAAAGAGCTTCTATTGCATCCCAAAGGGCTCATTAAAGGACAGTATTAAAGAGCATGATATGGTTGGTTTTGGAATTAGAAATAAATCTTCTCTCCTTCTGAGGAGAATAAAAGGTTTACATTATCTGTAGTACCATAACACAGGAGACACACAGTAAAGGGGAGTTGTGACTCCTAAAAATAACACCCTAAACACAAATAGATGTGTGTGTCTGCACACCCACCCATGCACCTACCTCCCTACAAAAGCCTGAGACTACAAATGCCACGTCCTGGCTGCATTTCAGAGCTGAAAGCCACCAAGATGCTAAAAATGATCCAATCTGTGTCAGGAAAGCATCCAGGATAAGGCAATCCCAACAGAACAGGGAAAGATTGCTTTCAGTCACTGAGCAGGCACTGTCATTGTAGTATGAAAATAAAAGTAAGGAAGCAAGGACATAAAAAATAGAAATGCATTATAGATGATGAAGGAATATCACATTAAAAAAAAAAAAAAAGAGAAAATTAAGTAAGATAAGGGCCACATCAGTAAGAACACAGAATGTAAAGCTTTTGTATTCCCAGAGAACAAAGGGCAGGAAAGAAGACTGAGGACATTTAAAAATGCTGTGCTAGATCCCTACTCCACGAGACAGAAAACTCCAAGGCAAACACAACTGAAGTTTTAGAATTCCTGTAATCAGAAAAGGCATTTCTAGTAAGCAAATTAAATTCACAGACTTATTTTTTCTATGACATGTCAAACACATTCTGTGTTGTCTTTCCCAGGTGGAAACACTCAGTGCATATAAAACCTGTTCCTACCTGGTCTGAGTCCTGCAAACTGGATTTTAGAGCCAACCCAGACAGTTCTGCCAGAACTGATGTGTGAATGTGCATTTGGCAACTAAAATCTGATTCAACTTGGCTTCATTTCAGCTACAGCTGCTTGATCTGTAACCCCAAGGAGGTGGAATTGAAGAAGCAGAGGTAGAGACTGTCCCAGAGTCACTTGGCTAACATGACCCAGTCTGTGCTGGCAGCTGGAGAAAATGAGGGTACAGTGAGTGGTAGGGGTGAGCACTCCTCAAACATTGGCAATTTTTCCACCACTTCATTTCTTGATGTCACATTAAAGCAGCACCCAAATGTGTATCACCACCCTGAAAACTCATTTGCTTACAATAAAGGAAATTCTTACTTTCATGATTTAACTGCTAAATTATTTATCCCATTTACTGTAACTGAATTAATTCCCACTTTTAGTCTTATATAATTATTAAAAATCAATGCAAACAAATGTTGAAATTAGAAGGGCTACTAATTTTTAGAGTCTTCAAATTTATATTGTTTTATAGAGTTCACTGTATCCATCATATATAAATTGTCAGATTCTTTTGTAAAAGCCACAACTTCTGGATAAAAAGGGATCATCTACTAATGAATTTAGGCTTTGACACAGATGATGCAGAAGAAGTACTAATTAGCCTACCATGAATTATTAAATAAATGCAACAAGTGAAAGCTAATTCTATAAATATTCTCTTTTTATGACATTTTCTTTGAAATCCTTCCTGCAGCCTCAAAAACCCAGCGGAATTCAGGTTATTAAAAAACAAAAAACCAAATTCACAAGCTGCAGTTTGCTCTATGCAACATTTGTGTTTCAGATAAACTTTCAGTACCTCAGGATTACACATTAGATTTCTTACAAGCAATAAATTTGATCTAGAACATATCATACAGCTTATACAGTGTTTCCCTGCAGATGATGCACTCGAGAATCCACACAGAGCCTGGTCAGACACAACCAGCCAGTCTTGTTTAGGTCTGAAGGTGACTAAAATTATTCTCACAAATATAAACCAAGGATTTTGTATTTTTATAAAAGCTTTGCTCCAAGGTTTCTCTTGAACAGGGTAAAGGCCAAGACCCTCTTTAAGAGTTTGGCATGTCAGCCTTACTGAGAGCAATGGCCAACTCAAGGTCTTCTTGTTCTTGTCTCCTCAACCGAGCCAGTCTTTCCTGCTCTGCTTTTTCACTCTCTCTCTTCGCCCAGGCCAGCTGCTGTTCCTCATTTCCAAACTAAAAAATGAAAATGGAAAACGAATTAATGGAGTTACCAACCAGCTCAAAGAAATTATGAAAAAAAAAAAAACAAAAAAACCCCAAAGAATCAGACTTATTAAATATACAGCTGAAGCACACCAGGCTGTCTTAGGGCAGTTTTAGATTGACATAGAAATTCACTCACTGGTTTCCTCACTTCATCCTTTATTTCCTTAATTTCTTCCTCCTTCACTTCCTCCCTTGATTTATTTCCTTAATTCCTCCTTCCTTTACCTCTTACTTAATTTCCTTAGTTTCTTCCTCCTCCCACCTGGAAATTAACCCACATGGGATGCAAGTTCCTGCATCTGTGGCTCAGTTGGATTATGAAAACTGCCAAAAAAAAATCCTCTACAAGCACAAAAAAAGGAAGTTAATGGTTATGGTTTGGAAGCACAGCAACTACAACCATTTTTAAGAATAAATAGCTGGTAATGGTAATAGTTATTTATTCTTATGCAACTGCACAACCGAGTTTTATTGTGGGAGTTCCTGCTAAGGGTGAGGGGTTTGAGAAGTGATTTTGGACACTGCTGACATGTGGGAAGTTTCATCACCAAATCAAGTTACCCAAAGTGCTTCTGTTGCTGTTCATAAAATACACACGGAGTTTCACCAGTAAGAAATAATGTGAGAGAATCCAATTTACTTCAGCAGAGAACACTAAGAAAATATCACACTTTCTAACATTCAGCTCCTGAACCTGGTTGGGCTCCCCAAAACACAAACACGGTGCAACAAAACCTGTCCAAAATTATATTCTACAATTTACCAGTGAAGGATGCAAAAGTTTGCTCATTTAAACATTTAGAACAAAACCTGAAACTGTTTTATTGAAATCATAGCAATTTCAAACTCAAATATAATCTGTTCCCAGCTAATTTTAACATTTGCTGAGGTGGAGGATGGGAACAGCTGTATGCAAATGTTTGCATTAAAACCCACTTCTAAAATCTGCTTTTTGGTTTTTGTTTTGTTTGTTTGTTTTTGGGTTTTTTTGTTGTTGTTTTGTGGGGTGTTTTTTTTTGTTTTTGTTTTTTTTTTGAGGATTTTTTTTTTCTGTCTGTGTGCAGGAGAACATATTATTTGAGGAGAAAAATTTCAGCTGGATGTATACTGCAAAAATTCCTTGTGGCCCAGGACACTGAGCTGTGCCATGACACAAACTAACACAGCGACACCTGCCCATACCAGCCTGAAATATTGAACTGAATGTTAAAATGAGTGCTAAACCCTTCCTGGCTGCATCAACATTTGTGATGGTCCCACCCCAGCCTCCTCTTCCACTCTGCAGCCCACCTGTAATTTTTATTTTTTACGTATTTTGAAATAAATCTGTCTAATTGAATTTCTTTTAACCCAAGCCCTCATTTACTCATAATTTAATCATGCCTCTGGATGCTCATCATTCCCCTTTTTTTTTCTTCCAGTATGACTTTAGAGATGGTTTGATGCAAAAAAACCTTTTCTTCATGCAATATCTCTGCTTACATTGCTATAAAAATTTAGATGAGAATCTTTGCATTTGATGCTACTGAAATACAATAGAAGTGTAACACCTTTTGATATTGTAAATTAAAATGGAGAAACCCTACTACATTCCTCATTTAAATAATGTCAGCTGCTAGGTAAGATTGAAAAGCTCGTTAAGATTTTAAATAGATTATTTTTTTCAAGGTAAAGACAGATACAAAAGGAAGAAGGAATTCTCTGCTTAGTCCAGGAATTTAGGCAGATCCAATAGTTAGGATGGAAAATGAATGGTTACTATTCTCAGAAATACAAGATGGTCAAACTATTTGGGATATTTTTTTAATGTTGAGAATTCCTTATGAAAATCTAATGTTGAGAATAATGTTTTACTTCTATGGCTTCCATTCTAGGATAAGACTTCCAAAGTTTAGGAGAGTCCCAATTATAACTTGTTTATAGGACACAAGTTATATTTTTGCAGTTAAAAGTGCTGAGTGGAACAAAAAAAAAAGGAAAACTAATCAAGTGATTCATTGGAAACAAATCTGGATGTGCCTGGTTACAAGTGGTTGGCACAAAGTGCAATTTTCAGGAGATAACTCTCACCATTGAGTAGTGAAATAAATACAGAAAAATTCATTAATGCCACAGATTCTTGCACAGATTGTATATCAAAAGGTAATTTACAGGTAATTTAATAAAACAATAATTTTTTGCATATGTCCAGATTTCAACAAGTCTACAAATATGTGTGACAAGTGTAATTGCATGAAACCTTTCCTTTTTCAGAAGTACAGCCAGACCCAAGGCAGAGATGAAACCAGCAGATTGCAGCAAGACTAATCAAATCACAAAAAGCTCCACTAATTTGTGTGTACTGAATTTCCAACTTGTACTGAGACAAAAAGCTTAGTGCTCAGTGTTCTGTTTCTTGGCAGAAAAATGGATTTTCTTGTTCTGTAAACTGCAGCTGGAACCCAGAAATACCTGAAATCTGAGCTACCAAAAGACTCTTTTGTTCCAATGAATCATATTTAATGACAGCAACAAAGTTAAGGATGCAATGAAAATATACACAAACTCTGGGTGCATGAATTTGCCAGTGTGTCAAAAAAACCACCAGATTTTCCTACTAAAATATAATGAAGGTTCTCATGTTCTTTCTTGCAACAGTCAAGGATTTCAATTAAAAATCAGGTTGTTTGATTATTCAGTTCTACATGATTCAGTTCTCAGACTCCATGGATTCAAAGTAGACATCAAAAACCTCCTGTAAGTAAAACTGATTTTCATTTCCATTTTGAACAAAGTTTCCCAACCATGAGGCAAGGAGAAGCACAATATTCTCAATCATTTCAAAGTAACTGGCACATTTAAAACATGGTGCAGAAGGATTAGAAATTGTCAAGTGTAGCAGCATGATTGTGTCATAGAAAAGGAAAAAAACCCATGAACTGAGGAGAAAAGGGATCAAATCTGTCTTTTCAGCCAAATTCAGTCAACATCTCTTTTTTTTTCCTACAGGAGGAGGAATTAATTCAGAAAACTGATTTTTAAATGGATTTAATTTTATGAAATACCATTTAACACGAATTATTAAGTGGCTACTGCTCATTATCTCATTTTTTTCTACTTGTTCCTTATCTTCTAAAGTTAATCTGAGCTGAGAACCTGATGGCACAGCAAATTTAACCCAGGAGCACCCACTAGGATTGGGATCAGAGATTTTGGTCAATCATTTGATACAATCAATCAGAGTAAACCACATTTTAACTTAAGAAATACAGTCTGGAAAGTAAGATGACAACTGGGTAACAGTCATTCCATTCCATCATTTGTCTTTCATTGCAGGAAGAAATTAGATGTTGTTGAAGAAACTTCAGATAAAGCAAGTTTTGTGTCTTATTTTTATTAAGAATGTCACCAGTTTGTATACAATCAGAATTTAACTGTGCAAATCCAACTAGCTGTGGTCAAACATACAACAAATCTTGAACTTGGATGTTTCAGAAGTGATAAATTAAAGCCCTGAGGCCAACTAAAGTCTGTACAGATGACCTCAGCTAACAATATCACATAAGAAAGTGATACACATTTAATATTAAATAATAACTAGGAGAGGAAAAAAAACCCAAAACACTAGAAAGAAACAAAGAAAGATTCAGCTTAAATATCTCCCCTTGCTGAACACTGACCTGTGTCCAGCAGGGTTAGGGAACAGAGTAAGTTTGCAATTTTACTACGTGGCAACATGAGAAAACAAAAACATGTGAAAGGAGGAAGAAGCCTGAGGCTGTGGATGGAACAGATTCTATCCACTTATGGAAGCAATAAGAACCACACCACCATTGCATTTATAATGGTTCCCAATTCCAGCACTAAAACCAAAGCCAGGCTGTGGAAACCCCAATACTTTTAATTGAATGGGGACCTGGCTTTGTTTCCAAACCTCCTGGGACTGTTTTCTGGAATGAAGTGTGGACCTTTCTATCTTGGTTCTACAAAACCATTTTGTTTTCTCTGTCTTTTCTACAACATCAGTAGCAGGAACAAAATTCAACAGCTAAATTTTCAATTTCTGTCTCAATTTCTGTGTCTCTCTATGAGCAAAATCCATCATATACAGCAAATGTCAGATTTTTTTCCACAAACAGTTACAGGTACTTATTAGAAACTTTCCCTTCAAGGATTTCCTTCTCAGGATATGGTGAAATTGCTAGAGAAATGTTCAATATCAATTGTTTTTGAGTCTTTACATCATTGGCTCCCAAAAATCCATTTACAAAATAGCCTCCATGCAACAAAAACAATACACAGATTCTTCTACAAAGAATTTGAGAGTAAAGGCACACTGTACTAAAATAATTTAAATGCACGTAAACCCTTGAAAATTTAGTACGAAACTTCTTTTTTATTGAAATAACGCCTTTTTATTACAGAAATATTAATACAAAAACAATGAGGACAGCATGAAGGTACTGAGAGACAGAAGCCAGGGAACAGTAGGTTTGCAGGTAAGACAAAAAAAAAAAAACCCAACAGAGATTGCTGCAAGCAGAGCAGAAAGTGGTTTGCTCAGAGACAAGGAACTTAACTTACAGAGCTGAAGTCTGCAAACCCCAAGGAAGAGTCTTTAGAAGTTTTACTTGAAGAGGAGGGAGCAAATGGATCTTTTCCACTAAATGGGTCCCCAAACCCCTTTTTACTTTGAAACAGGTCACTGCTGTCAGCCCCAAATGGCTGGAATGGATCATGGGGCTTGGGAAAATCTGCAGACCCAAGGTGGCTTACAGGAGTACTTTTACCTGGAAAGTTTAGGAAAAAAAAAACAAAAAAACAAAACAAAAAAAACAAAAGGAAAAAAAGAGAAGTTACTTACCATGGACAATGCAAAGCCCTGAAATAGGAAATTGTGCTGATACACTTAAGCATCATCCATCCTTCCTGGGGTGGGTGAAAATTTAACCACATATAATGGTATTCATTTCTCAATGCAAACCATCTAAAACAGTTGTTTTATTTAAATGGATTTATTATCTTATACATACCAAAATATTAATACCATCAAGATTTTAAATGATGAAACCCATTATAAAGACATTTGGTCAGGAAAAAATTGACAAGTATGACTTTGATTTTCCAGGATTAGAGATAATTCAAGTTTAAGTTTGGTATTGTATAGAAAACAAAATAAAAAACAATGTATCACTAACAATAAGTCATGCTAAATAGGATTAATTGACAGAATGCCTACATTCTGATTTTTTCCTGGAACTGGTTTATCCTTCTACCACCACATACACAAGAAAAAAGAGGCTGATTAAGAAATCACCTCTCTCTGGGGTGTTTGCTCCACAACCCACCTTTTGTAGGTGACTGTTCTTATATTCCATCCCAACAACAAATGACATCACAGGAATTACTGTGCATGCTCATAAATATGATGTGTATATTTCATTTGTTGCAATTAAAGCCTCAGTGGTTGATGATTAATTCCCCTTGCCAAAAGACTACTTTGTGAGGTCAAGTAACTAAACAGATAGATATATTTCTTCTCCTCCTGCCCCACCTTAAAAAAATTGTTCCTGAGAAGTGTTAGTCCAGCATCCAGGGAAAATATTCCTTGGATGAACATTCTTGATTGCAATATGTACTTGATAAAGGAAAACCTAGAAATATTCTTAAACAAATACTTACAACTCTCTGCACATTAACCTGAATTTCATATATTATTTGTAGCAATAGAGCTGTTTTGAAATATCCAATTATTTGAACTATAATTTAATAGAAATCTTATTATTCATTCCCATTATGATATACATACTAGGAAAGGACAGAGAAATTCAATAAAAGCCCAAATTTCAGAGTGTACTTGGCACACCTGAGTCATAGCCTGTGAGCTTTTCAGAAAGTACTTTGGTATATGCTCATGAACTTCACAGTATGTGCTCAGATCTGTGGAAATACCTTTATCAAAGGGAAATAAAGATCAGCAAACTTGCACTGAATAAATGACCTATCCAGTAACTTCCAGTAAATCCCAGCTCAGCCTCTCCTACCCCAGGGCCAGCCAAAATCCATCCTCAGTTGGCTTCTGTTCCCCAGTGTATCCAGGGAGCTGAGAAAATGAGGTTTGCATGGAGCTGAGGGAATTGGGTATTCAGGGAAGTGAGAAAATCAGGTTTACATGGAACTGAGGAAACTGGGTATTCAGGGAACTGAGAAAATCAGGTTTACATGGAACTCAGGGAATTGGGTATCCAGGGAACTGAGGGAATCAGGTTTGCATGGAGCTGAGGGAATTGGATATTTAGGGAGCTGAAGAAATCAGGTTTACATGGAGCTGAGGGAATTTGGTATCCAGGAAACTGAGGGAATGAGGTTTACATGGAACTGAAGGAATTGGGTATCCAGGGAACTGAGGGAATCAGGTTTACATGGAACTGAGGGAATTGGGTATTCAGGGAAGTGAGGGAATCAGGTTTACATGGAACTGAGGAAATCAGATTTGCATGGAGCTGAAGGAATCACACAGACTCTCGGGTGCAATATTGGCACCACTGGCAGACATCGAGCTGCATGCAAAGTGGGAAGCAAGCAAGTCCCCAGCTGAACAAGCAGACAGAGAGAGACATGGAATATAAGACATGTGCAGAAGGAGATAGAACTGGATTTCTTTAGTCCTGACAGTGTTTGAAGGGAACTTGATCATAGTCCTGCAAGTCTTTCCATCAGAAAAAAGCTGAATGGATTTAAACTGGGCCAAAAGAGATTCACATCAGAAAATCCACAACATTTTTAAAACTTAAGGATACTCCAGACTGCCTAAGGAACTTACAACATTCATAGAGTCAGAGAACATCCTGAGCTGGAAGGGACCCACAGGGATCACCCAGTCCAACCCCTGACAGGCACCACAACAATCCCACCCTGTGCCTGGGAGCATTGTCCAAATGTTCCTTGAGCCCTGGCAGTCCTGGGGCCATGACCATTGCTCTGGGGAGACATCCTATCAACACATCCATGAGGTTTGAGAAGGTTTCTAGAAATAACACTGGTTCAGCTGCCTTGAAGCTGGAAGACAAAGGAGATCTCCTAAAGCTCACCCCTGCACTTTTTTCCATGGTTCAGTACGTGCTCCATCCTGGATAACACATGTGACACAGATACACAGGTCCCCATGGCAGCAACCACCTGTGTGACTTCTAAAGAGAGGCAGATCAGGCCAGGGACTTGTCCTTCATGGAAGGAAGTGACAGATTAATCAGGAAATTGTTCCCCTCACCAGCACAGACCCTCCCTCACCACACCTGCCCCTCCACAGGGCACCTTTTGCTCTGTGGAATGGAGGGTTGCACTTCCATCCTGCCCATCCTGGTGGCCTCCAGATCCCACCACTGCCACAGCCATCCCATGCCAGGGGACATGCAAGCCTGGCAAGGGATGAGCAACTCAGCATTTTGTATGTAATGCTCCACTGAAAAGAGCAACTTATTTTAACTTGTTTTAAATTAGAGTCCTAGAATTCCAGAATGGTTTGGGTTGGAAGGTACCTTAAAGCTCATCCAGTGTGGACAGGGACACCTTCCACTAGATTGGGTTGCTCCAAGCTCCATCCAAACTGGCCTTGGAGAATTACAAAGAGAATTAAAGTATCTGCATTTCCAGCTTCTGGTCAAGGCAAAACAAGAACCCTCTAAGTTATTTCCCTCTCCTCTATTGCCAGTTACCAGCAAGGAAATTGCCCCTCATGCTTCACCCTGTAGTGCCCAAAACCAATTTGGATTGATGGAGGTAAAACTGACCCATTTTAAGCTGCTTTTTTTCTTAGGTTAAATCTTCTGCTAACGAAACCACTTTGTGGAATTGGTGACTGTTAAAACAAATGCTGTGTTTGCAACGTATTTGTTCAGCAAGACTGGTTTTTCTGGGTGGCCTGTTTAAGGGTTTTGCACAAAGCCCTGGGTGGTTTTGAACCTGCACAGAGCATCAGGGTTTCTTGTGCTTCATCTTCATAGAAGATCACAAAGAATCACTTTTGTTGTAGAGGAAATGTTACCATGTAATGAGAGTTACTGCTAATGATATAGAAAGCTTTCATTTTACACACTGAGTGCCATTTTCTCCAGATTTTTAGATGTTAAAGAATAGAATAGGGTGGTAATTTTTCTATTTTGGAAAAAACAAATAAAAAAGTGAGAGGGAAAACCCTTATGCAATGAAGTTTATCTTTTGCAAAGCAATTGCAAATTGAATACATCAACCACGAGTTTGATGATCCACAAGGACCATCAGGTCCAAGTCCAAATCTCTCTCTGTTTTAGTGCCCTCTGTACGTTGTTCACAGTTTGCTTTATCTGCCACACTCTGCAAACATGGTTTTGAGGTCTGGCAGAAGTTTGTTTGGTTCAGTTAGATGTTCAAATTTACTCAATTACTGGCTACAAATTAGTAAGAACAACACCAGCATTATCTTTCTGATGTCTTTGCTGATTTACAGCAAGTGTAAGTCTCCCATTGTAGTGTGTGTACACTTAATTACACAAAGATTTTGTAGTCCCATGTTTAGTGTGTCAAGAATGTGGGTATGAAATTTCTACAACATAAAGCAAAAGTACCCAAACAGTAAAAGGTTATCAATTGTACTGATGGACATTGGTAAAATTGCAATACTGCAAAATATAGTTATAACTGAGATTGCATTAATCTTCCATTTGCTGGAAAATGTTGTATTTGTACATGACTCTGCTCATCGTTCTGAGGTATGGCACGCAAACAGTTGTAACCCTTATTTGATTTTTCTGCTAATAGTTTCAGGAGAAAGAAGTTCAGAAAAAAGCAAAACAGGTCCTATTCTGAAACCACAGCAGTTTCAGCAGTTACCCAAGTGGTGCACCCAAACCACACCGAGGACTCACTTCAGCAAAAAGAGATGATGAACAAAATGGTTTACCACAGCAAGTGCTGTTACTTACAGTGAACTCCACCCATACAAAGGGCTTATCTAATTTCATACCCCACAGCTAACTTGAGTTTGGAGGCCTGAGATCTATATTTCAAAGCAAATATAACCTCACTGGTAGGATGCAAACACAAAATTTGTCTTATTGAATTACAAGATATTGACAATGAAGTGAAATATTTAGAATTGTCTCAATATTCTATGTTTCAATGCTGGGTCTGACTTTCTGCTTAGAAGATCTTGTTAAATGATGAGAAGCGGCATTTTTCCTGCCTTTGAAGCCTGGATGGATCATGCTCATGGGCAAACAGGAGAAAGTGGAAATGACACAACTTTAAACTTTCACTAAACAAGGGCTCATTTCCAGGATACTTTCTAAACTGAAAAATAGCCTTTAAGGAGTCAGAGTTGTGCTGCAGAGGATAAGGAGTGATAAGGTGAATTAAGTCCATACCTGTGATTATACCTGAGCATACAATCTCCTGTTTTTCCACATGGCAGAAGAAGCCTCAGGTGCCTCTCAGCACATCTTTATCTCATTCCCAACTTACTTAGCATGTTTTCCACCATCCTGTTAAGATTATCCAGCTCCTCCAGTGATGCAGAGTAACACCTTCATAAACTGAACTCACAGAAAAAATTACTAGTTTCAAACTTTGCCTGAAGGTTAATTACACTAAACTAAATTTTCTCCAGAATACTTGGGAGGTCTTTGTCTTCAACAGGAGCTATTTCAAACTCAACTATCTGATAATGTTCTTTGCAAAACATCACAACATGTTTTTTGCAACAGAAGGGAGAAGTTTTCCATTGGCAAACCCCCTCAGAACTGTTTTTTGCCTA